TTTTTTGGGGTTTAATTGGGGTTTGTGAATTGTGATGGGTTTTCTCTGCAAATTTGTGGCCTTTAATAAACAGAGTATTGGTCCTTTTGGATGATTTTACTGTGGCGTCACTGTCACTGTGAGGTGTGGTTATTGTGTTGCTAAACACGTTTTTTAACTTCACAAGGCATGGGCTAAGGTTGGTTTTTTGGAAAAAAAAGTTCCCCCTTGTTATAATAAACGGAGTTGTTGCGGAGTCATCGGATGACTCGGTTTATGGAGTCATCTACAGTTATTCACAAACAATATATTGACACGTATCCTACAATTAATACACGTTGGACATGTGTCAATATATTAAGTGATCGATGGCTCTATAAGAAAACCCTTCGATTGCTCCATAGAATTTTTGATAAACGGAGCAGTATGCTATAGGCTCGTTGTGGAACTATTTCGTCGGGTTTGTAACCGTTAGATCATCATATAACCGTAGGGGATAGTTGATATAACGGTTACAAACTCCGACAAAATAGTTTCGTAATGGAACCGTAACATTTCCTTATAATAAAAGTTATGAAATCTAAATATAATTATGACTAAATTTTATATCATGACAATTAATAACATTATTTAATTGTGTCTCACGAAATAAAATTTTGTATATTCAAACAATAAGAGAAATGTTAAAAAATGGATTAAGAGAATATGAAAAAGTGTGTAAAAACGTATTAGTTTTACTACTAATAATCGATAATTATTTTTTTTTTTCATAAAATTTGTCCAATGAAAAAACAATTAAATACATTTACTAAATAATTTAGAAAAAATAACTATTAAACTATTTTTTTTATATAATTAATGACTATATCAATAACTAATAATAGTGGGTCCTCGAGTAAGTCATAAGTTTGGGCCTTTTATATATATATATATATATACAAACGATAGCATAAGTGTGGGCCTTGCACGGTTATTTTTCAATTATAATTCAACAATTATCAGTCATTCAAAATTAACATATGAGATATTAATTAACTTATCAGTTGTTCCCTAATTATTTAATTAGATTTACATAACACAAAAATTTTATGGAACAATCGAATTGTTTTCTTATGGAGTCATCAATCGCTTAATATATTGACACATGTCCAAATTGTATTTATTGTAGGACACATGTCAATAATTATTGGTGAACAAGTGTGGATTGCTCCATAAGACGAGTCATCTGATGGCTCCATAGCAAAAGTGTTACATAACATACTTTGAATAGGAATATCAATCTAGAACATATATGCATTTCCTAGCGATTCGATGAATAATAGTATATTTCTTCATAAATTACATAATCTGATAATTAAGGGGTGATTAGATATGAATTCAACTAGTAAAAAACTAGTTTTTTTAAACTATAGTTAAGTTTGAAAAAAAATAGTATGGTTAGTTGTTAGTAGATATATTAAAATAATATTTAAATTAAAATAATTAAAGTTGATTTGATGTAAAAGTATGAAAAAATGATTGGAAGTGATGATTAGTTAAAATTATATGAGTAAATGAATAGTGAATTAAAGTTGATGTGATATTTAATAATGATTGGTTGATATTATTTAATTATATTGATGATATTGGAAATAGTAAAATTGAGTTAAAGTTGAGTTAAATATGAGTTTTGAGTGAGATATTTACTGTTGAAAATGTAAACAATCACGCCCTAATATTTTTTTAAAAAAATTATAATACAAAAATAATGAATTGCATGTTTATATTAAGTAAATTCTGATAAGTTTTTTATATGCATGAAATTTTGAGATATACAATGAACTATTTTATAACTAGTACAACACCCGTGTATTACACGGTGCTTGCTAATTTTTTTCTTAAAATCTAAAATTAATGAGAAAAAGTAGTTTGAAAATTATATACCTTTTATAAGAATATATATATTATTATAAATTTATTATGACACTTTTTATTTATGCAACTTACTTGTGTTATATTATACTAAATTTTTTTTTAACTTACAATATATAACTACATTACATATAAATATATCAATTGAGAAATAGTTTTATTTTTCTAATTATATTTTAATAAATATTATTATTTTTTATTATTATAAAGATAAATATAATTTATTTATTTCATATATACAATATGGATGTCAAATCGAAGATCATCAAAAGATGATTAATTTGATATATTATATATGTAAAACCGATAAGAAATACAAAAGTTATCAACTTTTAAAATACAATTATAATTCAATAGCTAATTGAAGGAAACAAATCAAAAATCAGGGATATATTAGTCACTTAGTGTCTCACTATGTAAAATTACAAAGAGTTAAAGGGTTATATTAGTACAAGTGATATTATAATACATAAGTTAGCTAAATAATATTTATGGAATGTCTGAACCTAGATATTAATTATTAATATATCAATTTATTTGTCCGAACCTAATTACGAAGCATGGTTATTCGCCAAGTAGGATTCCGAAGCACCAGAAGCAGCATGTAGGCTCAGCGCATTCGGGAATTATATATAGGGAAGATTATTATTGTAAACTATCTAATTCATGACATTTGATTATTTAGACACAAATTCTGATAGTTAAATTCAGGAAAACATGCAATATCGAAAAATTTATTGAGTTAATTTATATATCTAATTTTGAATTACGTAGTTTATTTTTGGGAATCATTTAATTATCTGGTGATTTTTTTTTTTGTACATTTCGTTAATCTATTAATATATAATAAGGATTAACATAATTCATTTTTAGAAATTCTTTCCCGCCATTAACATTAAATACACCCTATTTATAGTAATTCTTTGTCAAAAAAATATCTAACATTAATGATGCAAAAAACTTCCTTAATAATCGCATAGAAACAAACAATTTACTCCCTTAAATATCGCATCCTGACAAACCAACCCTAGGTAAGACTACAAATCGCCGCTGATTAGCCTTCTCCGGCGAAGACTCGGCTCGGGCCAGTGGTCACCCAAGACCACTTGGCCATCCCCGACATCGTGACTCTTCAATTTCACTGCGATGGTTGCTTAGCTGGGCTCGTCGGACTCTTGGTGGAAGCCGCTGGAAAACGTCTCTATTGCGAGAGATGCGCCGTTGGGAGGGGTTCTTCTGCGCCGGGGAGATGGTAGTTCCGCCAAAAATTCCGGGTTTTGCCTTTTTGGGTGCCGGGAAGGAGGGGCGGGCATCTGTTTTCAC